CCCAGCTCCTCCTGTTGCTCTAACTTCACCGTCCACTGGGCAAAGGGAAACTGCCTGTAAAGCACAGACCCTCTATGCACTGTGGTTATTCACCAGCACTTCGTAAATCAGTCCCAATAGAGTATCTTATCTGTGAATGTGATGTAGGAACCTTTTTTTAAGAATATAGATATTTATAAATTGCGTATTTATAAAGGGATCATTTAATTAGAGGGATATGAAGGAAATTCCAGCTCTATAATTTAAAATGTAGTGTTTTTTCCTATTTGTCTCAGACCTACGGAAGTCTTAAACGGCCATGGTTCAGAAATTGTATTTCCTTCGTTTTTTCTACAATCATGAATTAATGTCATTGTCTGGAAATAAAAAAAATTGTTTTATCAAAATAGGATAATTTGCTAAAGATATCGAGATAATAACTTTCTCGAGAACGTAAGAAATACGTTTAATACTACACAACATATCTCGTTATCTCGGGAAAACATTTGTTTTTGGGGGAAATTAACATAAATAACTTTCAAACTTGGGAATACAATTTATTGAATTTGTTATTACAGGAAAACATGGTTTATAAAATGTTTGAAGATGGCAGTTTAGGGCTTCCATACAGAACAGTGCCTGAGGTTGAATATTAAACTTGAATAACACCATTGTAAAAATGTCACATGTATGATAAAGACATATTATATTTATTCACACATCTGTGCCTAAGCAAACTGACAAATACTGTATATTATATATTCCTCCAGCACAGAACACTTGTACTGACTACTTTGAATTAAATGCATTTTAACTATAGATTGAACAAATAAAAATATTTGTATAGTCAGTAACATTGTGTATATGTGAAATAATTTGTCAAAAATGTATCCACAGCTGATTTGATAAATAAATAATCATTGATTAATTCATTTATCAATAAAAAAGCTAAACATGGGCTGCTCTTCTCTTGTTTGTATTATAACTTTTGATAAAAAAAGCTTTTTGAGCTAAATCTGGCATATTTAAATCCAACTGATAACTAGAACCCCTAATACGTGCAATTAAGGTTATTTAAAAAAAAATACGCGACTCTCACCCATACATTAACAATATTAGTAAAACACTTTACAATTACGTTTTAATGAATCACTCTTTAATATTTACCACACAATATTACACTTCTCATATGCATCCAGAAATATTTTTTTATACAATTATTTAATAAAAAAAAGATTTACACAGATTTAATTATAAATAGTCCATTTCCGATGTTTCCACCTGCTTTGTGACGTAGTCTAAAATGATCTTTTCATTCACGGAATCCTTCAGGTAGAAATGGGATCCATCCAGCATCCTGATGGTGAAATCTCCTGAAGTGATGCTTTTCCACGCTGTAGATAACATTCATAAATATAATTAATGACATAATGAACCTAGAAACAAGTACATTTACAATCAGCAGTTACAGCACTGCAATGCAATTACAGCATGACATTTGTTTGCTTATTGTCTAATATGCATGCAAACAATATTAGCTTTAGTGTCAGTGCAGGCTATTGTTAATGAAGATGAAGTGTATTTATTCTATTCAAAAAGGATAGTGCATAGTTATAAACCACAAAAGTGTCCATATCAAATTCTAGCTTTAATTTGCATCTTCAGAAGCTGTTCAGATTAAAAAGGCACAATAGCAAAACATAAAGAGTAGGCATAATAGAAGTTAAATAACAAATAAACAGAAAATATCACATCCCAAATGTACTGTATGCTCGTCAGACAGAAGCTTGTCAAGTAGACCATAAAATAGGTTTATGTGTGATTTTAAGACTTGTTCTGTACATGTGAGAATTAAAATCAGTAATATTTCAATATTCCGATGCAGAAAACCTGAAAAATCTGCTACATTTTATAGCTAGAATGCATTCCTGAAACCAAATGTTCCATTTCTTCTGACCCTGAGCATCCAGAAATGTTCTTGCTTCCTTTATATAATATGGTATAGTATATCTTATATATATTGAGTATGTGATAAAGCATTTCTGCAGGATGTGAGAGGAATGACCTTGTAAGTCATGAGGAATGTCGTCCTTTCCATCAAAACAGGTGAGAGGGCAGGAGAGGAATGGATGTTCTGGCTTGTTGCACCTGCAGGAGAAATAGCAACAACACACATTACACACATTCATTCTGCATCTGGATCTGATCTCTGAAAAGTATTTCTTATATCTCGATTAAACCTCCCCAATTGATGACGTCTCCCTCTCTCTCTCTCTCCCCCTCTCTCTCTCTCCCTCCCCCTCTCTCTCCCTCCCTCTCCCTCTCTCTCTCTCCGGTACACGGCACCGTAAGACGTAGTGTGGAGTTGCATTAGGTAACGCTGTGGTGGCTGTACTGCTCCAGCCGTCTCCTTTGTGTTTGTTTGTTTCCCCCTGTCTGTGTTGTTTGTGTGTGCGTGGTGGCTGTCACTCCTGGCTCCCGGCTCAACCTCCACTCACCTGCTGCAATCAGCTGTGCACCCTCCCCGACTACACACCTGCTTTCCATCAAGCCATTTACAATGGCATATCAACGGACGCTCCACAACCTTTCTCCGCCAGATAGTCAAGTATCAGCCGTATCTCGCGTCTCCCCTCCGGTACACAGCACCGTATTGTGGAGTTGCATTAGGTAACGCGAGATACGGCTGATACTTGCGCATTAGTTTCCGTTATGGATCAGTATCAACAGTCCTGCCAGTAACGTTACTATATTATCAATGCTACTTTAGTTATAGCCTGATATATGATAGCTAACTTCACAATGTTGTGATGTGACGTTAGCTAACATTCTGTAGCTAACAACGGTCACTCACCAAGATAGCTGCCCAGTTCTCCACTGGTTCTCCTCACACCACAGCTCAATTTCTCTCCGATGGCCGTTATTTCTTCTAATCCTTGGCTGCTCCTGGTCGCCTAGCAGGCTCATAATTATACGGTTGTGGTCCGTCATATGCATTCGAATATCCATGTTCAACTTGTTCTGTGTCTTCTGTGTCGAAACTAGCATTGGGATC